GTCGAGGAGGTTTTGCTCTGTTGTGCTGCCTGGTGTTAACGGTGTAGTGGGAGTGTATTTATGGTGGGAGAAGTGCTTTCAGGCTCCGGGTGATCTGAGGCTTTGAAGTGTTCAGAGGCTGTAGCAGCAAGTAGTTCTCCAGGGACACAGCTGGGTGCCTTGCAGGTGGCTTTGCAACAGGCTTGCGCATGGTGCATGATAGCTGAGCCTTTTCTGCTCATGCTGAGTGGTACATTAGTTGTGGGGTAGAATTCCTTGAAGGCTTGAATTGCTTTACTGGTCCGAAGGAATTTTCTATTTTGATGGTCATTTTTGGAATCAAAACATTTTCTTGACAGATCGTTTAATACATTGATACGGTTAAAATTGATCATGTTTTTCATTTTGGGAAGTGTGTGTTCTTCACAAATACGGGAAAGTAATTCATTCCTTGATTGCTTGCTTTTATTATCAGGAGGTGTATGTGTTATATACACCCTGTAGTGGTATTACAAAACCACTGTATTTCCAGTGTAAGGTGTGGATAATAGACTAGGGGAACAGATAGTTTTCCTACTCAAGTCTTAGAAGTTTCCTTTCCAGCACCAGTAGCGCGTTAGAGCTTTGCCTCTCTTGCTGCAAATTACACCTAATTAGTTGTTTGGGATTTCTTTTTGCTTTTTGTCTATAAGTGGATAAATGCAAAGGGAAAACTGAGACATGTAGTAAGAGTATGATCCTACTCCCCTTGTTCTCAGTGGCGAAAACCTTTTGGAACATACAAACACCTAGTCCATTTGAAAGGATCCTACCTATAAAAGAATCAGAGTAGTCTTGATGTATCTCCTGGAGTGACGATGCTAGCTAGGCTGGTGTGTTCATCCTTAGCTTGCGTAGTCATGTCACAGAATAGGCGCTTAATAAGACACCTTGTATCTCTGCTGTCTAACGATGATAGTGATGTGTGTTTTGAATGTGTTTATTTAGCTTCATGCTTTGAAGTTGTGTATTTTTTATATTCACTGTGATTCACATGGCTTTTGGTAGCATGGGCTCTCTTAACATATCATTAATTTTCCATTTGCTGTAGAACTCATTTCTCCCGTGAGGTATATAATGTTAACTTACAAAAGTTTTACATCTTCCAAATCCCAGTGATTCAAACTTCCTTCATGTTTTTTTTTTTTTTGTTGTTGTTTTACCAAAACTGAGTTTAACTCTGTCATGATCTTTAGTTGTTTTTCTGGTCTTGGTGATCCTATTCCAGTTTGGGACTAAGGGTAGTATTCAGAAAACTGTTGATGAACGTAGTCATTTTGGATACTTACATGCAAGAGGATAATTTTGGTGAAAAGTGTCTGGAATCTTTCTAAAACAGCTCAATTAGGTTCATGTGCTTTTATAATACAGAAGAGCTGTTTTGAATCGTGTGTTTGTTTTGATCACAGTAGATTGTTCCTTCCGTATAATACAGGAAGGGGTCTTCATGTATTTAGACATAAAAATCAGATCATTAATCACTGCAGTAGCTGTAATTGCCTATGAACTTCTTCTTTCAGTGAGGTCCTTCATCTCGATTGGGTATGAAAATATGGAAAGGATGCCTAAAAGACAAGTAACATCCTTCATTTTCCTCCTGCACTTTTATTAGTGTACTCAGAGTGGGTTGATTGCTTATTAATGAAAGCAGCTTTGACTAATTCAGTGACCTGGTCTTGGCACTGTTGAAGGCAGTGATATTTTCCAATTAACTTTAATGGAAGCAGAGTTGAAACTCTTATTTGAGATTTAAAAAGTAGTTAAATGTAATACCGTTATGGACTGGTTATTTAACTATCATTTGACTGGCTCCTTCAATTTCTTGCACTTCTGTGCAAGTGGTGGTGGTTGTTTCAATTTGTGAATGCATGCCTTATAGTTGGGTTTTGTTTATTCAGTGAGTAAATGTTTTCCCTATTGAAGTGAAGCCCTTGCCAAAGGTCATCTGTTAGCAACAGTTGCAGATCTTAGTGGGCTGTAAAAATTCAGTCCCATGAGAAATTCTTCCACTTTTTTCTCCTGGTATTATGTATAGTCAGTTTACACTGCTCAGAAAAATAAACAGTCTCTTCAGTAACTTACTAAAAACATCGTGTGTTTTCACTGTGCATTCACCAATTTTATGTGCAAGGAAACAGCTATTACAGAGCTATGTAAGAAACAATTTCTTCCCTTATTCATTGCAGGAAGTTGGTTGGCATGGAAAAAATACTCATTATAACATATCCTGAGGAAGGCTGGCAGCATTTGAGTTGTCTCTTACGGATGGAAATTTTACATAGTATGCATTTATATAGCACTTTAAAAAAAAGTAATTTAGAATGAAGATTCTGTAGCTTTGGTGCTAAGAGTTGACCTTTTGTGCTGCGTGGAACAGTTAATTAATCCAGTGGCCTTACCCTTGTGTACATGGACTGTGTCTAAAATAGAAGACACATTTAAGACACTGTTTTGATGCGTAGCATCTGCAGATGACACAGTAAAGAAATGGAGATGGAAGATACGGCAGGGATTATTTTAGTCCCCACCTTTGTAGCTTCTCTGTGGCATGAGAGAGACCTGGAAATTCATCTTTTAAGACCCACATTAAAAAAAAAAAAGCAGTCCATATGCTTGCTTACTTGTCTTCAGTTTATGATAAGTTGTCATCAGAGCTGAACTAAAGCACACAGGTAAAGATCCAGAAGTACATCATACTGCTGCTGCTCTAATTTTGCCAGATGCATGCATTACTTGGGAACAATTGTGTTAAAGCCTCCAGAGTAACCAGCTCTTCTCCCACAGAAACTTCAGAATCAAACATCACTTTGCCAGTACAGCTTGTCGTTCATAATTCCTTATTGTGTATGCAGACTCCCTCCCCCAGGTCCAGGAGTGTACGAAACACTCAGATCCACAAATGAATTAGAAATTTCAAAGTGTCTGACTTGCTGATGCAGTGGTCTAACTAGCTGAATATCTCAGAGGCAGATAGTTGGTCAGATATTAATGTCTTGCTGATAGAAAATATCAGAACCCACAAGAAATGAATACTGATCTGTGTGGGTATGTATGTAGTCTATGTCTTCTGGTGAGGTTGTTGATTAAAGAAATCACATCTGTCTGAATGTTAAAATATTAATATATTTTTATTGTTACATTGCAGGAAAAATCTGTGTTTCTGTCATGAGTTTTAGCTATATCTGACACTTTTTGAGTGATTTCACTTATTCCCCTCTTCCTCTTCTAGGTTGAGTTTGGTTGCGGGCTGATAGGATCCTCAGAAGGAGTTCATACTGCTCCGTGTGTTTTTTCTTTAGTTTTGAAGAGAATAGTTAAATGCAATGGTAGTGAAATGATCTTGGGAGTCTGGCTTTCTAAAGAGATTAGTAAATTGCAGGTGGTCACTTTTTTTCCATTTGCTGTTCTTTTTTTCCCTTCACAGAAACAGAAAATTACAAGTGTAAAATAGAGGGACTTAGGAAAGGTGCCCATGACTTTTTAAAAACCTTTCAAATCATCAGTTTTTATATTAAAACACTAACATTTGCTTAAAATAATCTTTTCTGTATTCTTACCTCCGAAGGTAAGATTTTTAGCTGTTTGCTGCGTACCTTGCTTCAATTTTGACTGTAATGCGTCTTCTGTGTAACGTCTGTTACTCACCGCTGTGTTACAGAGTGGTTTTTGTTGGGGCAGATTCCTTAATGCATTGCTAGCTGAAAAGAGTAGACAAAAGCATAACTGCAACATAACGAATTCCTCTGATGACTTGTTACTCCGTCATACCTTTCCAATGAAAGTCTTGGACAGTCATTTCACTTTGAAAATGGTTTTTGTTTTTAAGAGAGAACTTAGCCCTTCCTATGCGATCTGTTTTTGAGCAGTGCTTTCTGATCCGCAAGAAGTTTCTGCTGGATGATGGGAGGCGATGTTGCTTTTACGGACTGTAGCCTTACGCTTTCTATTCCTAACATCTGTATGCACAGGCAGTGAAGACATGAGCACGGTGGGAAGGCCTTTGCGTTAGTTCTGTTTTATTTATCTACAGTTAATGCCCCGAGCTGAAAAATCTGTGTTCATCCTTCAGGGTTCAACATGTAGATTCTAGCTTCCCTATCCTGTAGTCCTTATTGCAAGTCCTTCATCTCTCCAACGCATGAGAATTTGGCTTTTTTTTTTTCATTACGGCTGTGTAGTTGGCAGTGGAAAATACCTGCCGTACCTGTAAATCTTACTGAATTGAAATGAGGTGATTTGCACAGGTATAATATACTCTGGTGTCAAAGCACTACCTTGCCAATGGAGTGTACATTCTTTCTCTTTTTCTCCTGTTACAGTATTTCTGAAAGCTGACAAGAGACTCTGTCAAAAGGTTTCAAGGCAAAAAGCTATAATTTGTTTGGAATGTAATGAATAATTATGCAGACAAAAATTGTACAACCATGTTGAAGGATTTTCACAGGAGGAGAGACAGAAGCTTGTTTTGTGGGCTCTGCTGTGTGTGCAGTGGCCCTGTGCCTAATTTTGAAAAGCCTTGCTCTGGTAAAAATTGGGTAACAGATACAGATATTCAGAACATCAATATGTTACCTTCAAAGAGTACATCTCAGGCTATCAGCAGACCTCCTGCTCAGTTATTAATCTGCAGAAAGTGGTTTATTGATGCTCAGAGGGAAGCATGTTATGAAGTAGCTTTCTTCAAATGCTGAGTGGAAGGCCAGTAAGTGCAGTGCAACCAGTTGATGCATGTATCAGTAGAAAATGATAAACAAAACAAAACTAGAAGAGTGAGCACAGAAGTTTACAACTGAGTAACTTTTTATTTTCTGGTTCCTTTTGAAAAGGGTCTTTTGGAGGTTCGTCGTAGAAGCCTGGCTCTGGCTTGCCTTACTTGTATAGTCCCACTGAAGTCAATTGGCCTTCTTGGGTGTGCGGGGAGAGCAATGGCGTTTATGGATACATGGCAGCAGTGTCTGCAAATGATCATTTCTGCATCCTAGGTCTGTCCACCTGGTCCCAGCATTCCAGATCTCGACATCGGAGGACGTCGTGTTCCAGACATGAAGATCGAAAACCTTCTGAGGTATTTCTGGAATTTGATTTGCATTTTGTTACACTTATTAGATACAAAGCCATATACATGTTCTGCTAATGGATCAATTTCTTCTGATTAACACTTTCTTTTCATTTTGCTACATTTTAGCTGGCATCTGCCCCCCACCCTTGGCCCCCACCTTTTTTTGTATTTGCCAGGAGATCAGGGAGTTCAGTTGTTGTCACAGCCGCTGCCAGCACCAGTTTCCATCTGTGGATTTTGTTATAGTCTGACACCCATTCAACATAGCTGCATTTCTTCTGGTATTTTAAGCGTCAGGGTTTATTTGTAGCTTGATTTGTGAACAGTGAAAATTTACATTAGGTGCATTTATGTCATAGTTGGTATTGGGTCTTGGTATGTGATCTTTGTTAAAGTGCTTGTCAGACTAGAAATCTGCTTCCTGACAGTTCTGTCTTGCATAGTGCTTTGAGGAAGTCCCATCAAGGGAGATATAAATCTTTGAATTTACAGCATGGATCAACTGTTAGTAACACATAAACGCAATCCAGTTCCTTGGAAATGTTCGTGCTGAATCTCCCTATCTTCAGGCAAATACTACACTGCGGACTTTGTAGAGGCTGCAAAGGAAGCATTAGCTTCAGGAGATGGAATTTCTTGATTTAACGTACTTGCCCAATACCTGTATTTCTGATGCATTAGTGAGTGATTGATGTTGAGAAAAAACATGCTTTATTAATCTCCCCAATGACAGTATACCTGAGTCCCAGAGAAGAGTTTTCACAAGAAGAATCCCATTCATTGTTCAATGTGAACTACACCTGTTTTCCAGTCTTCTGTTTTGATTGTTGGCTGTTAAAGAGCTTTTTTTTTTTT